ACTATACCTGATACTATATCTGATTATACCTGATACTATACCTGATTATACCTGATACTGTACCTGATACTGTACCTGATACTATACTTCATACTATACCTGATACTCTCTACCTCATTATACCTGATACTATACCTGACACTCTCTACCTCATTATACCTGATACTGTACCTGATACTGTACCTGATACTATACCTGATACTGTACCTGATACTATACCTGATTATACCTGATACTATACCTGATTATACCTGATACTTTACCTGATTATATCTGATACTATACCTGATACTATACCTGATTATACCTGATACTATACCTGACTATTCCTGATACTATACCTTATACTATACCTGATAATACCTGTAGTACTTACCAATTGCTATCACTCACACAAATGTTTCATATGCGGAAATAGTACAGAGATACTGGTCAGAACACACACACACACACACACACACACATACTGAATTATGCTTTGAGTTTGCAGTACGTTAAAAGAATGAAAAACCATAAAATATTCATGATAACTGAACATCCTCCGTTGTCTGTTGAAATCACCTCATCCCATTTCATTCAGAATACTTCGGCAGACGTTGTAGTGGATATTTACTAAAGTTAAAGTTGAAAAGAGGAAAGGTACAATTAGTTTACGTCTCCAAAAGTTCATAAAAAAATCATCAGAAGGTGATTAGAAATTGTTTATTTTTCGAGACGGGATAGAAAGGGGGAACGACACACAAAAACAACTGCATCCAAAGGCACGGAAAGTGTTGTCATTTTCTCAGAACAACAATCAGAAACCAAATACCGATCATCATAAGAAATTGAGTCCATTGTAAATATTCAGATAAAGGAGCATGGGCGAAGGTGAACGCATACTGTGAACACCCACTGAATTATGCTTTGATTTTGCAGTACGTTAACGTCCTGTATACAAGCATGGGTTGCTGAAGATCAATTCTAACCCGGATCTTCACGGGTGAAATCCAATTGAGTTGTCAGGAGGACTCAAAGACAAACCAACCTATAGTACCATTTATATATACAAACACACATCTATCCCAACATACCCATCTCTCATACCCCTCACACAACATATCTAAGCATTTAATCTTTCTTCCGAGCTACTCCCATTTCTTGTACAGGAACCTTGGTTACAAGAAAAGACATTAAATTGCCCTGTCTCCCCGAGTTAAATCAAGTCTGCATGTTTCATATGGAGTGTCAAATCCCCGGGTAATGTGATTGGACATTATTTGACCTTGACTCGTGAAATTGCAGCTGGTAAATGCGGAGCGAAGTGTTTATCAAACATAAACTACATGCAGTGGAAGATTAGTAGGTCAAAAGACTGCATCGACAAAGATACCGATTCTCACTTCACACGCATCACTTTCATCGAGGTAAGAAAGCTGGACAAATAAGTTAACTTCATGAATAATTACTTTTTCTGGTGAATGTAGATCGATACTATTTTTGTTCCGATGATGTGAGAGTGATCTGTGTGTTTTGAATTTTACCCAGATACGGTACCTCTGCAATTTGAAATTTTGGATACGAGTCAAAACTGGTTAGTTAACTATTTAAGCGTAAACTGAATATTTCTTAACTTACTTAAAATGACACACCCCGACACTGGACTAATATAACTGCATTTGATAATCTAAATGTAATTGTAACTTTTGCAGAGCTCTTTCTTATAGTGAATTATGCACTATGATAGATATTAATTTACAGCAAAAGCTTGTCTGACAGAATGAACTAGCAAGTGTGTGTTTAGCTACGACGCTATTTGGTCACACTTAACCCATACCACAGTGATGTGATACTGTGACCCCTCATAAATTGTGTCAAGGCACGTATATTCATTAACATATTTCACTTACTCTGTGGATTGGTTGAATGTGTCTCATCATGACACAATACCTCACAATGTATTTCACTATCCCTGGTGGTTTATTGTGTGTAATTCTGACCCAGTTTTCCACAATATATTTCAGTTCCCCTGTGGGTTCGTTGTGTGTCGTCGTGACCCAGTTCGCCACAATGTATTTCGGTTCCCCTGTGGGTATATTGTGTGTCATCGTGACCCAGTAATCCACAATGTATTTCATTTCCCCTGTGGCATTATTGTTTGTCACGTCGTGACCCAGTCCTCCACACTGTATTTCATTTCCCCTGTGGGTGTATTGTTTATCATCGTGGCCAAGTAATCCACTATGTATTCTTTTCCCCTGTGGGTATACAGTGTGTCGTCGTGATCCAGTCCGCCACAATGTATTTCCGTTTCCCTATGGGTATATTGTGTGTCGTCGTGATCCAGTCCGCCACAATGTATTTCCGTTTACCTATGGGTATATTGTGTGTCGTCGTGATCCAGTCCGCCACAATGTATTTCCGTTTCCCTATGGGTATATTGTGTGTCGTCGTGATCCAGTCCGCCACAATGTATTTCCGTTTCCCTATGGGTATATTGAGTGTCGTCGTGACCCAGTCCGCCACAATGTATTTCCGTTCCCCTGTGGGTATATTGTGTGTCATCGTAACCCAGTAACCCACAATGTATTTCCGTTCCCCTGTGGGTATATTGTGTGTCATCGTGACCCAGTAATCCACACTGTATTCATGTTTCCCTGTGGGTATATTGAGTGTCATCGTGACCCATCACTCCACAATGTATTTCTAGTCGTTGAAGGTAATAGTGAACACCTTAAAATCATCCCCTTCGTAGTTTCTAAATCTATTGAAACAATTTGTGGTACAGTTAGAAATGGCACTCGTCTCCGCTCCCGTTCCCTGCTTGTTGAATGTGCAAGGGGAAATCAGTATCAGGGTTTATTAAAGGCACTACAATTCTGCAAACACTGAGATAGTTGTGTCAGTGCACAGAACTCTAAATTCATGCTGAGGCAGTGTCCGAGATCGTGCTAAGACATATCCGAAGATGAAATTGTGACAGAACTACAGACCCAAGGTGTATCATCAGTGAAACGATGTACAAGGAAAGATGGTGATAGTATTGATAGATATTGGTAGTAAGTACAAATACATACCTGTTTACCTTTGCCCTCACAAAGATCCCTACATCGATCAAAGTTGGGAATTTCAATATCGGAGTTGATGTATATATTTCCAACCCACTCCGTTGTTTTAAATGTAAACAATTTTGGCATGGCGCAAAATCTTGTAAACATGACAAGTCTCCTTTATTCCTCTCAAATCTGGTGATGGTTGTCAAACTGCTATTAGTTGGGTATCCAACGATCAGAAATACTGTATCCAATCGATGCTATAAACATTAACTCTTCATCAGCTTCGCAGACCGAACCTGTCCCTGAACCTGTGATTGAATCTGATTGTATGCTTGAAGGGAAAACGAATAGAATTCTAATTGCGAAAGAAAAACAAAACAACGGAAGACAGAAGCATGATTTACATAAGTATACAATTATAAATGCTAAAGTCCTGTGGGCCTTTATACAAAAGAAATGCCAATCATGGTAAAATTATGTTTCAAAAATAAATTCACGTTCCCTGATCTCAAAGGTATAGAACATAATTCAGAAAATTAAGTTGTAAGTCCAGAAAGTAAATCTTAATTCAGCATACACCATCTCAAAACTGGAGATCAATTATCAACTGAAAGAAATGGATATCGCAAATAACCTGGTTGAAACACTTGCGAAACATTCTTCCTACAGTGACTATGTTCCCAATTTCAAAAATACTAAAAGGGGAAGATTATAACGAAATCTTCACTATTTATGAGCCCCATACTGCTTTAGAACAAGATCATGATACTGATGCAGTAGCTGATAATATTCGTTACCAACTTCTGAAACACTTACCCGAACCATGTTTAGAGACACTGTTGAATATTTTTGATGAAATTTGGTAAATGCCCTTCCTTCTGGCATGATGCCATAGTTGTACCATACCCAAATCTGGACGTGATCATACCGATCCCTCTAATTATAGACCAATTTCGGGGGCGGCGTGGTAGCTTAGTGGTTAAAGTGTTCGCTCGTCACACCCAGGTTCGATTCCCCACATAGGTACGATTTTGTTGTCCCCCGCCATGATATTGCTGGAATATTGCTAAAAGCGGCGTTAAACTAACCTCACTCACTATAGACCCATTTCACAACTTATAACTAGCTGCGTTTGCAAAACCATGGAACGCATGGTAAATATCAGATTTACTTGGTACTTGGAATGTAATAATTTAATCACAAATATTATATCGCAGTACCATTGACCATTTGGTGCGATTGGTTAAAATTGACATTATAAATAAGCAATATAGAGTGTCTATCTTTTTCGATCTAGAAAAAGCATATGACACTTCGTGGAAATATGGAATTTTAGTCTGCGTGGGTTCTACCCTGTCTGATCACTATGAACACCACCAGGGTGTCCCAAAGATAGTATTTTGTCACTTCATATTTCATTAAAATTTACAGTTTAGCAAACGTTTTAAATGATTCAATTGATGGATCACTTTTCGTGGATGCTTTTCTAAGTTCTTGCTGTGGGAAAAATATAATCGTAACAACACCTTGAAACATTGTTTTTCCATGTCATAACATTTCATTCGCGGCAGTAAAAGTTTAACACTGGCTCTGTTTGTCGTTTGCCGTTGAAAAGATGTGTTGATTTTCCATGCAATGGCTCAGGTGATGCACAATTTTGCTGTTTATGAGTCTTTGAATGCCCGTTAGAATTCATACACACAAAGGTGTAAGGATCAAAATCTGTGATCTATAGGACACGACGTTTTGGAGTATATACTGACTCCATCAATTAAGAATATACAGCAATGGCGCCAACAATGACAAATAAATAAATGAATAAACAATAAAAGGCGATATTCTATGCGGAAGCTGAAAGAACTCTTTGGAAAAAGACTGATAGGTATAAATTTCAACACTGTGTCATGACCAGAAATATGAACCAGATGACGACTTTTATATTTTCCGTTTCCTCTTTATGTACAGTCCCTCGGCCGTTCAAGGATGTCTGTTGTCGAGGACCACGACGTAGGAGGTAACTCTATCAGCTTCCTGGAGGTCGATGGCTTTCGGTATCCAATCGTTGACCAGGAAATAGTGAAGGGCATGTCGCAGCTGAAGGTCAAAGATGACGATATATTACTACTTGCATATCCCAAATCAGGTATCTTCACTGGTATATGCGTAACACACCCCAAACCATACTAAAAACTGATATTTAAGGTGTCGGTGATAAATCGATGACTACTGCAAGTACTGAAACGGGGTTCAGTGTCGTAGCCGAGTGGTTGAAGCGTATATTCGTCACGCCGAAGACCCGGCTTGGATTCACCACATTGGTACAATCTGGTGTCCCCCTGGTGATATTGCAGATTTATTGGTAAAAGCGGAGTAAAACTAAACTAGGAGGAGGACATGATTATAGGTTGTTATGTTGATGATCTAGTATAGCCTTGATTAATTTCAAGATGAACACTTCATGTCCAAGAGAATACGGTCCTAATGAGTACGTGTTTGCCATTTTACCATGGTACTATCAAATGTAACAAAAGCAGTGCCTAAAGTAGATGCATCATGATTCTTAGGTACACACTGGCTTTGGGAAATCACTTCCATGCTGCTCCAGGGTAAAGCAGAGACCGTCCCTCACTGGAAGAGTAAAGTCATGGTGGAGCTCCAGCCACAAGAAGTCATAGACTCATTCCCAGGCTCCCATCGAGTCCTCAACACGCATGTTCGGTACAACCAACTTCCGGTACAAGCAAGAGAGAAGAGGTGTCGCATTATCTTTGTCCTGAGAAATCCTAAGGATGTTGTTGTGTCCTTCTTTAACCACCACAAGTCATTCACGAATCTATATGGGGAGTACAATGGATCCTTAAAGGATTATCTCCCTTTCTTCCTGGTTGGGAAAAGTAAATCATTTGTCATTTCTTTGTTTTGTTGTTTAACATCGCACTCAAATAATATCCAAGATATGAGGAAGGCACATATACGAGTCGGACCAGACATTCCTGTGATTCATATTGTTAGCAACTAGTCGTGAGTTCGGGGTACGATGAGAAACTAACAACCCCGTCAGCCATCTTTAAAAAAACATACGTCTATTTACTGTGAATATTTTCAGCATGAAATCTTCATCTGGTGCAGATCCTCGCTAAGGGTTCGACCTTTTGATATACAGGTCACAGAACCTCTTTTCATCTAGTTACTGGGGTCTGATGTATTCCAAGTCAAAATCTGGTCATTTCAGTAAATTTAAGTCCTTACCGATTTAAGCAATCAATAAACTGAGTTCTGAATTTTTGTGACCCATCACGTCAGACAGCAAAAACACGTCAAATGCGAGGAAATGCGAGAGCTGACGGCAATTTTAAGCTTATCACATGACAGTCACGTGCATAACCTACAAATTCAATATGGAAGATGCTTATGTCGCGTGGAATGCAGCTCGTGAGGACAACGATAGACTGACTTAATTTTCATAAGACTGCCACGTAGAATACAAAGTGATGAATAATTTAGGCACAGTGAGTGTATCTTATCTACCAGCACCATTGTCCTCTTGCAGCGGACTACGGATCTTGGTTTGACTATGTCCTTGAGTGGGAGAAGGACATCGAGGCCCAGCAAGACCGACACCCTATACACATAATGTACTATGAAGACATGAAGCAGGTCAGAGATTTCACAGCTTATGTTAACACTTACATGGTTATTCCTAAGTTGAAACGAAAACCTGTGAGAAACAAAACGCTAAAAAGACATACAAATCACTGCAAAGGTATCAAAGAAGCAGCGTGAGTGAGTGAGTGAGTAAGTGAGTGAGTGAGTGAGCGAGTGTTGCTTTAAGCCGCATCAGCAACGAAACCATACGATTTAAAGTGACAGTACAAATTCAAGAGCAGTGATTATTAAATCCAGAGTATTCAGGGAATAATGATCATCACACTCAAAAATGGTGTCATAACTTGAGATGTAATTTGTGATAAGAGGTAATAGCCAGCTCCCTGTATATCCGGGGTTGGGGTGGTGAGGGTATAATCCTCATACAATCAAGGTCTACCACTTCATTCGTTGGTTGGTGTTTAACGCCATACTCAGCAATAATCCAGCTATGTGGCGTCGGTCTGTAACTAATCGAGTCTGAACCAAACAATCCAGTGATCAACAGCATGAGTATCGATCTACGCAACTGGGACACGATGACAAGAGCCTGATCATCCGATCATGGTAGTCGATTTTTAGGACAAGCAAGACTCTTGTCGGGTCATTTCACTTGAAGAAGAGTGAAACCCACCTATAATCGAACCCCAAATCCCCGGTTTCTGGCTTGAAGAAGAGTCCCAACTCTGTAAAGTGAACTGAGATGGGTTGAAAGCCTGGGCCAACCATATCCTCTTTTAATACCAACATCACGATAAACATTTTGTTGAATAACCATGCATGGTCTTGTCCTCAGAAGCCCTTGGAGGAAATCCGGAAGTTGGCAGTGTTTCTGGGAGTACCTACTGATGACTCACTCTACAGCGCCGTGGCAGAGAAATGTTCCTTTAAGAATATGAAGGGCGACAAGGAACCATACGATCCAAAGTTCAAGGGCCAACTTTTTGTTTACAGGAAAGGTAAGCCAAAGGGATCAAGGGTATATAACTATATAGATGCTTTTGTTCGTTTCGCTTCTTTCATATCGACGCACTACCGACACATTTCGATTTGTAGAGACTTTGTGCAGGCATGTCTAAAACTCAACCTCGAACTGATTTGGGCGGTGGGGTAGCCTAGTGATTAGGTGTTTGCTGGTCACGCTGAAGAGCCTGGTTCGATTCCCTATATGGGCATAATGTGTGAAACCCCTTTCTGGTGTCTCCAGGCGTGATATTGTAGGAATATTGCTAAAAGCGGCGTAAAACCATTAGTGTTTGGAATTGGTTGAAATCTCACAATTGATGATTGCTTCATTACCAACGAACAATCATCGAAAAAAATTGGTTAGCATCATTTTTCAGATTTTCATATCCAGGTTGTTATTGCAGATAGGTATAAGATGATGCAACTTGCTACTTTAAAGTGATGACTAATATATCATGACCACAAACTTCCTGGAGTCTTCAAGAAATATTCAGTCATGACTTTTCAGTTAGTGAAGTGAGTTTTCTAAGAATTAAACAAGTTTGCAGGCCCCGACAACTTCGAAGATATGTTCCATCGTCAAGTGTTTTAAAGACTAAAACAGTAGTTCCAAAATCGTTTGTGTTCGATTATGAGAAAATGTGATCGATTGCTTGGTCGTTTGGTCACTGCGACCAATCTTCGATTATTTCAATAATCGAAACACCACTACTCACTTGAACCATTATACGTTTTCTCATAACATGTGTCCATTTGTCCCTTCCTAGTGTATAAAAAGTACATGTTTTCTGAAAGTCTCATGAAACATTTTCACCACCAATTACCACCATGTCGTGAGTGAATAAAGTTTAACCAAGATTTTAGAAATTATCTAGCTGGGAACACCAAAAATATTGGCATCACACAATGTGCCCGTGTTGGAAGTTTAAATCGGGTTTATCATGGCAGGGAACACTTTAACAACAGGGCTATCCCACCGCCCCTCTTGTAGTGAGTTTCTTATTTCATGTAAATTTGACATTAGAATCTTCTGGTAATAATCCCTGTTTACACCTGTCCTTTAATTATATTCAAATACACTCAAACACTGCAGTGACGAAACTTCATATGGCTTGCGGTTGTCTCGAAATACAATCATTATCACTTTTAGGGTTGAGCGTCTACTTCTAGGGATTCCAATTTCGGGGATTATAATGAGAAGAACATGTACATTTCCCGAGTGGTATACAGCAGGTATACTAGGCATGATATCAGACGTTGTAAGAAGTTTTTTAAGAATATTAATTAGAAATCAAAGTCGTGCTCTTACATTCAAGCCCAAGACTCACCCCCACCCCATCCCCAACATGCTTGTCGTGACTGACAGGACTGACAGGACTCCCAATTGCAAATGTCGCTACGCATGTTGGATTGTCTGGCCCAGACTCAGTGTTTTACAGACCGCCGTCATGCTGGTGGAATATTTGTGAGTGCTACGTTACACAATTGTTTTCTTCCAGGGCTGTCAATGTGAACTCTGCATTGAATGTGTTCCTCGTTCCAGGCCAAGTGGGAGACTGGCAGAACTGGCTGACACCGGAACAGAACGAGATGTTGGAAAAGTTGTACCAGGAGAAGATGAAGGACAGCAAGTTCAAGGACAAAATGAGGTTCACACTGTTCATTGTAGGACAAAATCAGGTTCACAGTAATCACTACATCCATGGACACAGCCAACGCTGTAGTAGCTGCTGTTCTAGTTTACAGATTTTACCCATATTGTACGCAGACCAAACGGAGAATGAGAAATCCGATCTCAAGCACGCAGGCTTGTAGTCATTGTAGCCATATTGTTCAAAGCGACAGAATGCATCGTAAACCAACCTCAGTATTACTTCAAGCTTGACACGCTAACTTGATATTGGCAAATACAAATGGGTATCTGAAGTTTCACCACTGTATTTTCTTTTGGTAGTATTGGACATGTAATTGGAGATAAGAAAGATAATTAGTGGTGATACAAAGCAAAGACCAGTTGATATGGATATCCAGCCATACACATATTCAAAATATAGGAAACCCGTGAAGATACAGGCTAGAATTAGTCTTCAGCAACCCATGCGTTTTATAAAAGGTGACTAACGGGGTTGGATGATCAGACTCGCTGACTTGGGTCAAAAGAAATCTCTTTTAAAGAGGCCCTGTTGTTGGGCTGTATCACAGCTGACAGGGATGAGTTGAAATTGGGTTTAAGGTCGTGCTTGAGAATATTTCGCTCATATGACAACGTGCATGCGTGTGTGTGTATGTGTATGTGCGGCTGCTTGTACTACCCAAGACTTAAGCTGATTTTATAGTGCTAGCCCACTGAGATATCATGCCGCAGTGAAGCATGAATACCCGACTCAGTCACATTATACTGACTCCGAGCCGACAGTCCTTGATGCACCCATTAATGTCGAGCGCCAGGCAGGGACCAACAAGTACGATATTTTAACGTCTTGTGGTATGACTCGGTCGGGGATCGAACCCGCGACCTTCCGCTCTCCGGGCGGGCGCTCTAACCACTATACCACGGAGGCGGTCCAGCTAACAGAGGGTATTCTTTAAATTTGGAGAAACTGATAAATACTACGTATTCTTTTGAATGTAAAAGATTGAATGTTTAGGAAGAGATATTTTTCAACTATTGCTGACAACAATATATGTAACCTGGGGCTAAGAGTTTACGGTCAAATCAACTGTGAACAATAATAATGTTGATGCTGACGTGACATTAGAATTTATGTTATGTGAATTTCATTCACTGTACAACTTTAACTCAACAATTGGAAATTAAAACGGGTGGATGTCGGAGTGTGTGTTTTTCTTTTCAAAATAAGATATTAACTACATGTCAGTTGTCAGCGTCGTCTCTAAAACCAAAGTGTCCTCCAACGCATCGGCATCGTTTGGGTTGTTGATTTCAACAGGGTTGTTGGTCTGACCGTATCGCGTTTTGAAAAATCATTTATATTATTTATCTGTTTCCTTCTGGGGAAAACGTCTTGCACCAAGACATCTTATTCCCATTTGTGTTTGGCACCATAGCTTTGGTAGGACCCAGAGGTATGATACCTCTGATGAATGGCATGATCTTGGTAGGCTGCCAGGAACAGAACCCCTCTGAAACTCAGGGTAATGTAGTGGACAACTGCTGTCCAGATTATTCTTGGTGTGTTTGACTAGACAGCGCTTCCTGGGAGACGTCCCATGAACTGTCTTGGTTACTAGTGATAGGGCAAAGGTCCTGAGCTGATGATGACAGTGCCAGGAGATCCCGAACCCTTTATGTGCCAGCTGTTTTAATCAGTGCATTATAAACCAGAAATAATGAATGTACATAATGAATGTTCTCCATAAAGTCAATGAAGGCGCAAAGCACTGGCATTGTATCCGGTCAAAAGATCATTGTACACTCTATTTCCGTATACTGGGGAGTATATAACCAACAAAACTATATATTTTAGAAGAATGTAAATGATTCGTCATACGTTCCCATGTGCCAATGTGGGAATTGGAAGTCAACGGTTTATTCACCCTGCGCCAACAGATCAGGAGGTACCAAACCAAGGGCGCCAAGAACAGTTGGTAGTCTGACGACAGTGTACTTGGGACCCAAGCAAGACATTACAAAAGCGAGGTCCGCATATGCATTCAATAACACGGATACATTCATTCAATTTTAAGAAAACAACAGGTTTGTTGGCAGGAATTTGTCTTCTGCTGCAGATGGACCTATTCCATACAGGCACCATTTTCCATGACGCCCTGGACATGCTGAGGCTCAGAGCAACAAGCACGGTTAAGGTGATAATGGAAACAACGTCTAGGATATGCTGTTTGTGCCAAGGAAGAACACGCATACTTCATCCGGGCGAATGAGTCAGTTATACTGCTATTCTGTTCCACACACTGCATTTCTGTTTCTAACATATCTTCTCCTCAAATGACCGATTCTGGGCAGACTTGGTGAATGATTTCACCTGGTTTTCTACCATCGCCGTACCGTCCAGCAATACATACACGGCATAAACGAAATCAACCTCAACTTGATTCTGTCCAACAGCCTTGAAATGGTTAAAATAGCTCCGAATGTCCTAGCGTTTCATCAGATATATAATGGACTTGTAAATGTAAACATATGTAACTCAAAGAACAAAGAATTAGCAGTTACATTGTCGCCATGTACGTCTCCATAATTAAATAGCAAACTCGTGTTTTTGCGTACAGTGGTATGGAAGGATGGAGAGGTGTCATGTGTTTCGAAGACAATGCATCGTGTACATCGCCTACAAGATAAGAAACACACAACCCTACTACCCAAATTAAAGATGTTAAAACATTCTTATTCCAACTTGTTTGCTAGGATCTGTGGTAATCCTCGTGCTAATGATATGGTTGGTAGTTCTGGAAACATTTGCTGTTGCATTTGAAATTGTGTAATGGATTTTCAATAATCTGCCTCTCGCCATTGAGCCAGAGCCTTGAGAATTTAGTGGTAACTGCTTCAGAATCTGGGGCACCTTCGTGAACTCTTTTTTAAACAGTTTCTGGTTCCTGGTTATTGAGTTATGATTGTCACAAAAAAGGCGGAATAATATAGCTTGTAATGCACACGTCATATATTGAAATGTGATCTACGATAGGAAATATATAGTCATATTTTCAATTCTTAATGTGACTAATGAAATCTTCAAAGTTTAATCATATATTCATGTGCCAAAACATATTTTCAAAGCCTCAATAACGCATACATTTGTCGACGCATGTGAGAGAGCTCACTGACATGCAAATCTTTATCCACAAACCAACCCGTTACCAGTCAAAGCACCCAATAGTATACGCATCCTTCCCCAAAATAACCTCTGTCACAAGTTTCACTTCAACCTTTAAATTATTACAAGTCAAAGCACCCAATACACCCTTACCGACAAACCATCCTGTTACAAGTCAATAGCTCTATCGCCCTCTCTCTTCCTGTCGCAATGTGTGAGATTATACATGCCAACTAGTAAAAGTTTGAAAACTATTTTGGAATGATTACATCAAATGACTGTGAATTATCCTGTCCCTACGCCTTGATGTTGCTGGAATATTGCTAAAAGCGGCGTAAAACCAAACTCAGTCAGTCAGTTTTGTTGTTCATCACTGGCTTGATAACGGATAACCTACACCGAAACGTCGCTCTCACAGCAATAAAGAAGGTGTTCATCCATTTATTGTTATCCTTCCTTACTGCTCCAACTTCTAAATGCCTCTCCAAGAAGTTAATTTTGGCAGAGTGTGATCACTGATAAAGCTTCACAAAAGAATTCTATCACAACCCACGTCTTCACTTTCTTCTTAAACACCACTCTCAAAAATATTTGTGCAACATAGTATCGTTTTTACTAAATCGAGTTTTGACCCAAAAAATCATCAGACTTAGTTTGAAGGGTCCTGTTCAGACAAGATTTAGTGAATCATTTGGCTGTAACGTCTCTTTGAACAACTCCTGTTGATGCAGGTCTGAGAGCTTTACAAATTTGGTAAAACCCACCAGCATAGGCATGTTTCATAACATATCACCTGGATTCGAACCCACGATCAGAGAGGTCTGGCGCATTCCTGCCAAGTGAATTGCAATCGACTCCTTGGACGCCGGGAACACTTTTCCAAACCACAACCCCCCTGTGCATATGAATAACAATTTATGGCCTTGGCATTCTCCACAGAACCCCTTGGAGGAAATCCGGAAGTTGGCAGTGTTTCTGGAAGTACCGGAGGATGACTCACTGTACAGCGCCGTGGGAGATGAATGGTATTTTAAGAATATGAAGGAGGATAAAGAACCAAATGATCCCAAGTTCAATGGCCAACTTGTGGTCTATAGGAAAGGTAAGCTGAAGGAGCTACGACATAACTGCTGTTGCTTGTTTCACCTGTTATGGCACAAAGATGAAGGTTTGATTTTAAGTGGCATTATAAATTCATTTCAAAATCTCTACCTTATATTTTTTTTCTTTCAAAATGTTTTCTCTTCCTAACGATTAAAACTAAATGTTCGAAGATTTTTTCAACATTGTTGCAGTGGTTATTTTCCCAGTTACTTTGCGTTGTGATGGAGTATGGTTTTACTCCACTTTTAGCAATATTCCAGGGATACCAGAAATGGCTGAGTGAGGAAACATTTAGCGTCTAATCGGCAATATTGCAGCCATATCGTGACGAGGATTTGAATAAAAAATAGCGTCAAATTATAAAACCCTGTCAACGAAGGATAGTAAAATAACCATAGGATCACAGATATAGATATAAAACTAGTATGACAAACTAAAAACTATACTAGCCACATAAAGAAACAGTGTATTGTCAAAATATTATCCCAGTTGATAAGTACGATAACAATGTCAAAGGTACATATAAACTGTAATGGAGGGATCATGAGACCATAATAAGTCGGGAGAATTTCAATTGAAGAGCCAATCACAATGACGTCACGAGTCCACAAGCGGGACAGGGGTCAAACGACCATGTCACAAGCTCAATAGCGGGTATGTCCACAATCGGTATTGAGAACAGCAGTGCATCGACGACGCATAGAGCCTATCAAACGTGAAAGGAAGGCTTGTGGGATGTCACGCCAGAT